TGTAATTTTATATTAAAATTATTTATACTTTTAATCATAAATTTAAATTTTAATTCTTAATTTATACATACTAAAAATTAATAATAAGTGTACAATTGAGTTTTATATTATATACATAGAGAGAAAAGATGCTCTTCATTCATCAACTGAAAAATTGAAATTTTATGTCAATTTTTCTTAAAGCAACGAAACTGAGAAAGTTTTATTTTAAAGATATTTTAGTAATCTTAATTCGGAGTATTTTCTATATTTAAAAAGCGTGGAGTATATTTATAAATTACACTATTAGTATCACATTTAGTACCTATTTGCCAATAATGTATAAAGGAGAATTATATTATAAAAATAAGTGAATAAAAATTACAATTTTTTAAATAATACAATGTCTGTCTAATTAAGTTCATAAATTTCTACATGTATATATTTACCTTGTTTTTATCATAAATGTTTAAGGTAACACTCATCACCCTTCACACACAAACTCACGGCCACGTCTCACTTTTTGTGAAACTAACTTGCATGTGGGCTTGAAGGTTAAAGAAAAGGGTAATGCTAATTTGTCCCTACAGCTTTTTGACCTTTTCGTTTATTTAATAAGTTTAATTTTTAATTTTTAGATTGTTAGATCTTGAATTCTAGATATTAAACTCCAAACCCCAATAATATGAACTTTAAATCCTAGTACACTAAATCCTAAATCTAAAACATCTAAAAAATTCTAAACCTTAATACTTTAAATACTTAATTATAAAAAAAAATATTATATAATTTGATGCAATTTAGACAGTACAACATTTATCATTGGATAGAGAGTAAACCTTATGATAATAGAGGTTATCCCCTCATTTAACAATATATATTTTGTTATCTAAAACAATTTAAATTACAAAACAAAAATTTCAAATACTTAAAAAAATCTAAACCTTAACAACTTAAATATTAAATCTTAAAAAGTTTCAACCTTAACACCATAAATATTATTGAACCCATAAAAAATTTAAACCATAACAGCCCTTGATTATTAGTCCTGAAAAATGCAAACATTAAACCTGAGACTCTAATCTTTTAAGAAAATTTATAAATGTTAACTTTATGTTTATCATTGTATTTTGGTGAGAGATGTTCTTCATCAATGCCATATGAAAGTTTTTAATTGAACAATTGATAAAATTAAGTTTTAATTGTTAATATAAATTAATTACAAAAAGTATATAATTAAAACACCTTTTAAACTATTAGTTAAAAGACCCTAAATTTTTAAGGACTAAAATGAATATAAATTATTAAACATGGGATCCAAATTATCTATTTGACCGTAAAATAGGAAAAGTCAATCAACGGACGTGGCCAATAGGCCTTACTCGCCCCTCGAGAGGACAACGGCCCCTCAATCATTATTCCAAAGAAAAAGAAAAAGAAAGAAAAATAACCATTTATGTCGATGTGAAGATATTCATGTGGACATGTTAATTTGGGCACGCAGCTTCATGGTTGTCGAGTCATGGCAAAAAAATGAATGCGTGTACGCCAAGCGGTTATTCCAATTTTCATTTCATGTCTAAGCCTCAATTCAATCCCTTGTTGGCTCCGTCCAATTGCTTGCTGTGCTGATGAAGGTAATGATTCCGACCTAACACCAGAAGATCAATATGCCACACGATTCTTGCGCTTCGGACAACAGATTTTTTTTTTTTTTTTATATATATATTAGAAGTATAACAAGAAATAATTTTTGTTTTATCTTTTATTTTACCTCATTTGCATATTATAAAACTTAAATTAAAATTTTTTTATTTTTAATAAAAAATAATAATTATTAAATTATTTAAATTATTATTGACAACAAATTATTAAGGCTTTTACTTAAATTACATTTTTATTCATTTTTTTTAAGAAAAAAGGTTTGTATGGAGTTGAGTAAGCCAAAATGTGTGATTTAACAAAAATTTAGAAAAAAGTACAACCTTTGCGGGCATGATAATCAGCTGCGTGATAATAACCGAAGTCAGATTCTTGATCCATTAGGTAGGGTAATTATTATTATCATCTCCTTAAAATTCAACCACTCTATTATTCTTTTTTCTAGGGCCGGCTAACGGCTTGTCTCAATTCCTAAATGAACGAATATTTTTTATTTCTTGTTTTAATATTAATAAACCATCTTTGGTGCCTAATCACTCATATGGTTTTCAATTAGCCTGAGTCTCAAAATACATGATATACACATATATAAATATATATATATATATATTTGAGTTTGTATAACCTATGTTATTATGATATTGATTAAAAATATATGAAATATATTTTTTATTATAATTTTATATTAAAAAATAAACATTAATTTTTTATTTATTAATTAT